CAATACTATCTCTCTCACGAGCATTTCTCTACATTTCATGTACTTTGATGACACGCGATTCGTGATTTCTCTCTCACAGACTTCAGAATAGAGTACCTGGCACTGAAAAAGTTGTTGGTACCCTTAGATTAACAGTCGAAGTCCTTCCTTTTTTGTATACTCGCCCGTTCCATTCATTAAAACGGCGAGGAATCCTGTTAGGGCGGGGCTTACAAATCATTTTTTGTTCCAAGTATGCAAAAAATGATGGACTTCGGATGTTGATCTAAATGCATATATAGAGGTACCAGACATGTTAGATGACCCGCAGCAAGGCCATCAAGTATCGTGACCAGCTCTACTTGGTCCATCTGCAGAAGAACTCCACAACCGTGAAGGATCTCCATACGACACGCACACTGTTCCACATCGTAGTGAAGTGGGAGCGGTATAAGCCAACCCACCGTGGCGTCACTCAGTGCTCGAACTGCCTATTGTTCGGGCACGGCACCAGGAACTGCCGCATGGCCAGCCGCTGCATCAAATGCGGCAAAAACCACAAGATCGACGACTGCGACAGCATCGAGGAAGCCGCTCCCACATGCGCCAACTGCGGTGCTGCCCACAAGGCCACGAGTAAGGCCTGTCCGAAGCGGGCCGAATACGCCGAGATCCGGAAGAAGGCCTCGTCCAACAACCAGCCCGGTCGCAAGAAGGTCCCGGAAAACAACGCGCAGAACTTTCCTCCGTTATCACCGGTCCAACCACGGCCAATTCCAGTGTTGGCGCCGCTCCCGCTCAACCAACAGTTGGCTGCTGCCCAGTCGGCTGCCGCTGCAGTACCCAGTCAAGCCTCCGGCCCATCGACGGATCCCCCTGCTCCGGGATTGGCCGGTACAACCGGTGAAGCTACAGACGATTCTCCGCTGTCAACGGATGAGATCGTCACACTGTTGGCCCAGGCCATCATCATCAAGCGCACCTGCGCAACAAGAACACAACAGCTCCAAGCTATCATCTCCTTCGTCGCTAATTATGGACCGTGAACCCATAAAGATCGCCAACTGGAACGCTCGCTCCGTAGGGGCGAAAAACATTGAGCTTGCAGACTTCCTCCGCAAGCACGACATCGACGTGGGCCTTCTCACCGAGACTCACCTCAAGACCGGTGACAGCTTCTGGCTGCCCGACCACAGCATTGTCCGGCTTGATCGCACCAGCTCCAGGGGGGGCGGTGTCGCGGTCATCATCAAGAAAGGCATCAAGTACTGCACCCTACCCCACTACCGCACTTCCATCATCGAGGCCGTTGGCATAGAGGTGGAAACATCGACCGGAAACGTCCGGTTCATCGCCGCCTACTGCCCCCGGCAATGTACCGTTAGCAATGGTACAGCACAGCAGTTCAAGAACGACCTTGCCATCATAACCCACACCAATGCCCGCTTTGTAATCGGAGGGGACCTGAACGCCCGGCACGAGGCCTGGCGGAACTACCAGCAGAACCAGAACGGCCGCCTGCTATTCGACCATTCCCAGCATGGTCTCTATTCCGTCTGGTTTCCGGACGAACCAACCTTCACATCACCGACGGGCAACCCATCGACGCTGGACCTGTTCTTGGCAAACACCAGATTAGCCAAGCCGGTTGCCGTCAACGACCTGAGTTCGGACCACCAACCGGTGCTGACCGAGCTGGGCTACAACGTGGCCCCTGCACCGTGCCAGCGGAAGGACTACCATCGAGTCAACTGGGTTCAGTTTCGACGCGTGGTCGACCGCCACATCGACGACAACCCACCGCTCGACACAGTGGATGACATCGACCGGGCCCTGGAGGGTCTCCATCAAGCCATATCCGTGGCTGACGAAGAGTGCGTTCGACGAGTTCCTGTGAGGGGTAAGTTTCAAGCAATTGATTCCCACACCAAACTCTTGATTCGGCTCAGAAATGTTCGTAGACGCCAGTTTCAGCGGACTGGGGATCTGCAGCGTAAATACGAAATGGTCGATCTGAATCGGCAGATCGCTTCCAGAATGGTCTCAATCCGGAACGAGAGTTTCGGGCGGCTCGTTCAGAACCTGGACGACCGTTCCAGACCATCCTGGAAGGTTGCCAAGGTGCTGAAGTCTCACCCCAAGCCCATTCCACCACTTAGAGTCAATGACGAACGGCTTATCACCAACGAAGAGAAGGCCAATGCAATTGGGGAGCACATTGCCCAGTCGCATTTGCTTGGCTCTAAAATCCCAAGTCCACTCGAGAACCAGGTTGCGCAGTGCGTCCTGACGTTAGATGCCTCCCCTTGTGCCGTCCCTCCAGAAGAACGGATTACAGAGGAACAAATTTGCTCAGCGCTGAAATACAGTAAGAACATGAAGGCTCCCGGGTTTGACGGAATATTCAACCTAGCGTTGAAAAATCTCAGCCCGAGGGTGCACTCGCTGCTAGCTGCCACCTTCAACAGATGCTTGGAGCTGCACTACTTTCCAAGCATCTGGAAGGTGGCAAAAATCATCCCGATCCGCAAACCTGGGAAAGACCCTTCACTACCGTCAAGCTACAGACCGATTAGCCTGCTCTCAGCGCTGAGCAAGCTGTTCGAAAAATTGATCCTCAGCCGACTAAACAAGTTTGTGGAGGAACATGACATTCTTCTTCCGGAACAGTTCGGGTTCCGCAAGGGGCATTCCACCAATCATCAGCTAGTGCGGGTGATGAATAACATCCGAAGTAACAAAGCTGTATCCAAGTCCACAGCCATGGCCTTGTTAGACGTCGAAAAGGCGTTTGACAATGTCTGGCACGACGGACTTATATACAAGCTTTGTAACTCTAACTTTCCACCATACCTTGTGAAAATCACCCGTAACTATCTCCAGCAAAGGTCGTTCAGGGTGTCGTTGAATAGTTCCCTTTCGGGACAATTTCCGATCCCAGCAGGTGTTCCGCAAGGGAGTCTGCTGGGACCACTGCTTTACAGCATCTACACGTCGGACATCCCTCCTCTAGGAGACGGTTGCGTGTTCTTTCTGTTTGCAGATGACACCGCGATAGCTGTCAAGGGTAGGATGCCTCGTGAAATTACGAACAAGCTCCAACGATGCCTTGACACCTTTACTGATTATGCCACCACGTGGAAAATCAAAATCAACGCCTCGAAAACCCAAGCGATCATGTTCCTTCACAGACAATCATTAAAACTTAAACCGTCTCCCTCCTGTACCGTAATAATGGATGGTACAAGGGTCGAGTGGTCCACTGATGTTACTTATCTCGGGATGTTGTTCGATGAGAAGCTCCTGTTCCGCTCGCACATAGAGAAAACCCTAGTTAAGTGCTCCGCCTTGGTTAGGTGTTTGTATCCGCTCATTTGCCGCAGATCCCGCCTCTCAAGGCAAAACAAACTGGCTGTTTACAAACAGATCATAGCCCCCGCGATCTTCTATGCCGCCCCGGTGTGGGAATCGTGCGCTCAGACCCACAGGAACAAAATCCAGGTTGCACAGAATAGAGTGTTGAGGATGATCCTAGATCGTCCATTCGACACAAGAATAACAGACCTCCATCAAGAGGCAGAAATTCCCAAAGTACATTCCAAAATTGATGATATGACAACCAAATTTATTCAAAAATGCAATCTTTCTGAACATGCTTTAATAAGCAATTTGTACATAGTAGGTTAAGTGTATATAGTAGAGTAGGTTAGTTTTAAGCTGTAAATAGTAGTATTAAGTAGTTTCTCTTCAAATTCTAAAAACAAAACAAACCAATCCCACCAAGGTGGTCGACCGTGTACTAAGTCTAGGACTAATTCTGTAAAACAAATTTTGAATTTTGCCCATACCTAAAGATGAAGAAAGCAATTAAATCACTTAGTAAAAATTTATATGGTAATCGTCCAAGTTAAACTAAAATAAAGATCATTTAAACGAACCAGACATGTTTTGCAGTGTCAAGTACTATATTTTGCAGTCTGTGAAAGGGACTACTAGAATTGCTCACCGCACTTTCATCAGTTAGCAACTAACGGAAAGCAGTTTATGTGTAATTCCCAACAGATGTCACTACAAACAACAATAGTGACTTATTATGGTCAATGAGCACAGAAACTATTTCCATAGGCTCATTCTACCGACTTCGGTAATCTGAATTGCAGGGCTTCAGAAGTGCTGGAACTTAAACGTACTTGCCAGATTTAATGACTTTTCTCAACGAAAGTAGCTGGTGATTATGGAAAAGAGGGAGAGATTTGAATTTGACTAAGCTAAGTAGAAGATTTAATATGTTTTATATCTGAAATATATTGATAAGACAAATTCACGCGAGCGTTCCAACTATATGACGAGACAGTTACTCCACCTCTCGTAGGTAATCAGCTTTTCTGTTTTAAGAGTGATGGAACATGTGCTACTTTGCGAAATAATAGGTCTTGAAAATGCTATATTAGCTTTTATGCTGTTCTCGACAGGACCCAACAGGACATAAGCTTAGTATTATACGTTATTGCATTTAATTCTATTTTGGACGAAAATTACTGTATCGTAGTGACCCAGCTTCAAATCTCATAGTAACGTGAAGCATCTTTATGATACATCGTAACAAGTCTCGTGAAAAGAGAGCACCCATTTGTTTCATTTATTGCTTGCAACAAAGTCGGTGCAAACTGCCTTGGACAAAAGTAGAAACAAGACACATTATATCTTCCATATGCCCCCAACAAAATGTAGGTATCTCCTACATCCTTGTGCCAGCAACAGCGATGACGTTGGCAGATACTTGCTCTTTTGTACCTCCTATCAGGTTCAGCATTCTTCTAATGCACCGTTTCGTTCCATGCCAAATGACAATAAAACGCCTCTGTACAAAGGTTCAGCTTCAGCAACATTCTCTCGTTTATCTCAAAGAGTTGCAAAACGACATTTACCCCACCCATCAAAACGGCCCTCCGTGTCGCCTTAATGTATGCAAAGATAAGATCCACTAACCCAACGGTAAACAATCGTTCGTATTTATGTAGATTATGTCGTTTTAATTTCAGTGGTGCCAGCAGTTTTGGGTCTAACAGCGGCAGCCATCCTAGCAGTGACCGCTTGTTTCTGTGCCAGACGAATTCGACGCCAAAAGAAGAAGGCTGGCCACGAAGTGTCGTCGTTACCTTTTCAACCACCACGACCTCCTCGGGCCGTTCGTTCACCTAGTGGTCAACCTCCGCAATATCTAAAAAAATCCCCGTCCCCAACAGGCATCAAACCACCTCCCGGTGGGCACCTACCGGCGCAGTCTCCTACGGAACAGAGTTGTATACCGACAAACACAACCGCAACCATAACTACGACTACCACCAAGTACAGTGAAGAGAACGAGCTGACTCCAAAAAAGGTCCAACTTGAACCCAAATCTCCCGATGTAGATGCTTTGGATGGAAATGACAACGAGACGGAATACGGGAAGTTGGGAGCCATTGTGTTCAAGCTTCGATATTTGGCCGACCGCAGTGCGTTGGTGGTTTCGGTCGTTCGTTGCCGTGGCCTACCGGGAAAGAACCACGGATCGACAACGACAGACCTAACAGCTCTCCCGGCTGGGCCATTGTGTAATGGAAACGGCAACGTGAAACAGTCTGCCACCGACCCTTACGTCAAATTGCAACTGCTACCGGATAAGCAACACAAGGTCAAAACCAGGTAAGTGACCAAAACAATTATCTCAATCAAAATGTCATCGCCCATGGCAGCAGCACAGCTTTAATTAATTTAAAACCCACCCCCTCATTTTAAACTTAAACTTTGAAGGTTGTTTCATCCGGGCTCACGTTACGTGAAGCGCTGATAATTTTCCGACCCGTTAGGTGGTTTCACATCCCTAAAAATAGTTTGTTGTCGGGGATGACTTTCGCTCTGATAAATTGAAACGACTTTCTAAGGGCTGTGCTCATTTTTTTTACCATGGAAGTAAAGGAAAGCGGAAAACATCGTTGAAGTGGAATTTCGTGCCACCCTCGAGAAGAAGAAATGAACACACGTAGCAAAGTGTCAAGGGATATTATCCTTCTTTCCATCTGAGTGGAAGTGGAGCACTAAGGAATAACATTGCCGTTCTTATCGACTGTGGTGAAGAAATAGTGCCGCTAAATAGGTACATCAAAAAGCAAAAAAAAAAACATATTTTGATAAAGTTGGAAGCCAAATTTCTTAGAGGAGAAGAGCATTGTTTAAAAATAGTATCTATTTTTGCACACGATTACACTTACTTAAATTTTAGAAGACGATTTTTGTGGTTCAGGGATGTCGAAACACTCAACCGATAAATCTTCTTCTTTCCTTTATTTAACGTCGGTCTCTGTTCCGCAATCTAGTGCCAATCATCGACGGACATCGATTGCCATCCATTGACGGCAATCGAATGTGCAAGAAGGCAGCTTCCACCCTGCGTAGGAAATCGCACCCATTCATCAAACATACATGGGCCGGAACCAACGGCTTTACTTCCCTTCCGAAGGAAGACGTGACCAGAGATTTTTATGCCTCAGAAAAATCCCACCGACCTCGGCTGGGATTGAACCCAGGCCCATTGGGGTGAGAAGCAGTCTCGCTTACCACTACACCACCGGTGCCGGCTGACACTCAACCGATAAATGAAATATTCTATTACAGATTTGCATCAAAAATATACACGATTTGTAATTTTTCACTGCTCTTTACAGATTCTACACAGAAAAAAATACTGAATTTTAACTATCGCGTAAAATCTCCCTTCGTTTAATTTTGAGCTATACTTGGCATAAACAGCGAAATCGTTTACAAGCTTGCATACAATATTGCTAATTTATGCGATATTGCGCTTAAATTTACACGAAATATCGCGTAAATTTATGTCAAATCTAGCGTTAATTTTATGTGCGCTATATGTCGCAGAAATTTACATGAATTTTTCGAACGGTGTATAATGTTGTAGAAAGGTGTTGAAAATAATGTTGATGTTAGCTAATATTATTTTATGCAATAATATTCATTCTGGAAAATCTTTCTTATAACCTATAGTCCATTGTAAGAACTACCATTAGTTGTAAGAAAAGATGCAGAGGATGTAAGAAATCAACTCTTACATTTGATGCTTAAACCCCGTGCAGACTATGGCTTATATCATGCAATATAGGCTGTTTTGCAATGAGCACTCATACATAGGATTTCCAGTGAAAGCTAGATGTAATGTTCATTGCAAGACAGCCTACACAGCAAAAAATTAATTTTTATATCACATCAAAGTGGATGCACTTCAATCGTGTCAAAAATATGGTGTAATATTACTTGCCAAAAAGGACAAAATTATCATTAATACAGTGCATGAACTGACATTACGCTGCATTTACTGCATTTGTTTATTTTTGTGGCTCTCTTGGATGTCATATTGAATTTTGTTTTGTGTATATTACATGATATAAGTCATAGTCTGTACGGGTTATTATCATAGAGGTAACTCTATGGTATTATGCTCATGCTCATTTGAATCAGTTATTTGAGAAACCACATAAGCAGGACTGGAAGTGGGTACACTCAAAATAATGTTCACGTCAATGCTACGTGAAAACATTCACCGAGGAAAAATAACGTAAGAATGCCATAAGAACACTTATGAATTTTTGCCACAAGAAATCGATATGAATTTCATAGATTTGCCTTATGAAAAATAATTTCAACAAAAAAATAATTAAACGGAGCATACTGGAACCGAACCATGTTCATTGAGATTACGAGTCCTGTGTCTGGGCATTTGGCATGGTCTGTCAACGCTTGGGAAAATCTAATGGCTAAAGGCGTATAAGTGCTACCTTATGTTAGACAAAAATCTCTCATAAGTCGCGTTCATAAGTCCAGCCTTATAAAATAAGTCCAGCCTTATAAAATTCTAAAGTCTATTTGCCGCACGGCCGCCACCGGCATTTTTTCACACGCCGCCGCCGCCACCGATAATTTTGGACTCCCGGTAAACTGACAACGCTGTACAAATGATTGCTTAAACTACATTTAACAGATGGAATGGAGAAAAACGAATGGAACGAGGCGAAACGGAACGTAGATTCAAACCAAAACAGTGAATAAGGCTACCAGAGACTCCCTTTTCTGATGGTCATAGGGTTTTCGATGTTTGACGAAAAGTTCGTGGTGAAGTGTTCGCGCTCTCTCTCTTTCGCGGTGTTTTTTGTGTGTGTGCGTGCCCCGATATGGGGAAGCATCGCTCACGAAGCCCGGTGAAGGACAAGAACCCCGGTGAAGGAAGTTCGGGTGTACCTACATCCAACAGGTTTGCTGTTCTCCCCATGGATGGGAATATCCAGCCGGCTGTGTTGGAAAAACGCAGCAAGAAAAAGAAGAAGAACCGAGGCCAGTCTGATGGCACGATTGGTCGAGACGATGCCTCTGCGACGAACGGAGATTTCGGTGACACTGCCGATAAAGAAAATGCTGCTGACATGAGCGCGGCAAGAGTGAAGCTTCCTCCGCTAGTGGTGAAAAATGCCCATCTCAACGAGCTCATCGCGGATCTGGCGTCGCAGGGCGTCAAAGCCGAATTCAAATTGGGCAGAGTCGGCACCAAGGTGGTGCTTCGTACCAAAGCGGAGTATGACTTGGTCATCGCCCACCTGAGGACTTCCAAGGTGGAATTCTTCACCCACGACATCCCCGGTGAAAAACCGTTCAAGGTCGTCATCAGGGGCCTACCAAATTTCGACCCGAAGTTTATCGAACATGAAATCAGGGACAGGTACAAGCTGGCCCCAAGTGCCGTATACCGAATGACAAGAAGAGACGAGAATGTGAAGGCGTATCCGGATAGCCTTTTCCTGGTACACTTCCAGAAGAGAACGGTGACGCTCAACGCACTGAAAGCCATCCGATCCATCAATTCCATCATCGTTCGCTGGGAGCCATACCGTGGCGGTCATCGCTATGTGACTCAGTGCCAACGGTGTCTGAACTTCGGACACGGTACCTGCAACTGCAACATTAAGCCACGCTGCGGAAATTGCGCTCAAGACCATGCCACCTCCGAATGTGCTGCGGATGAAGCTGTGGCGTCCAAATACGCCAACTGTGGTGGTGCTCACCAAGGATCCAACAAGCAGTGCCCTGAACGCGAGGATTTCAAGCGCATCCGAAATCAAGCGTCCACCAACAATCAACCAGCACGAAGGAAGGATAAGGCCCCGGCTTTCAGGACGGAGGACTTTCCGCCTCTTCATGGACAAGCAAATCCCAGGGTACGATCCACGCCCCCTCAAGAAACGTCTGGATCTTCTGCTGGACAAAGCTCTCCATCCCCCCCTGAATTCTGGAGGCAACCAACAGCTCAAACAAATAATCCCGATCTGTTCTCAGCAGATGAACTTATGGAGATTTTTATCAACATGACCGGTGCTCTACGTAAGTGCCGCAATAAGCCCGAACAGATCCAAGTGCTCGGTAAGTTCATCATCCAATATGGTGTCTAAACCACTAACCATCGCTACCTGGAACGCTTGCTCAGTAAGAGCTAAACAGATTGAGCTTGCCGACTTCCTCCGCAAGCATAGCATCGACGTGGGTCTTCTAACGGAAACCTACCTAAAGTCCGGTGACAGCTTCTGGTTGCCTGACCACAACATTATCCGGCTTGATCGCACCAGCTCCAGGGGGGGGTGGTGTAGCGGTCATCGTCAGAAAGGGAATCAAGTTTTGCACTCTGCCCCACATCCGCACTTCTATCATCGAAGCCATTAGTGTGGAGGTGGAAACACCAACTGGAAACGTCCGGTTTATAGCAGTTTACTGCCCACGTCAGTGTACCACAAGCAACGGCCTAGACATCCAATTCAAGAACGACCTGACCGCCATCACTCGTACTAGCTCCCGATTCATCGTTGGGGGCGACCTGAACGCCCGCCATGAAGCATGGCGGAACTACCAGCGGAACCGGAACGGATGTCTACTGTTCGACCACGCACAACATGGACTGTACACTGTGCAATTTCCGGACGAACCAACTTTCATCTCTCCGACGGGAAATCCCTCCACGCTGGACTTCTTCCCGTCGAACATCGGACTATCCAAGCCGGAGGCGCACAACGATCTCAGCTCCGACCACCAACCGGTGGTGACTGAAGTAGGTGTCAACGTGGTTCCTGCTAGAAGCTGCCTGCGTAAAGACTACCACCATGTCAACTGGGTGCAGTACGGTCGAATGGTGGACAGCAACATCGATGAAAATCCACTGCTCGACACCGTAGATGACATCGACCGGGCGTTGGAAGGACTCCAACAGGCCATATCCGAGGCTGACGAGACATGCGTTCGACGAGTTCCTGTGAGGGGTGCTATTGACTCCCACACCCAATTATTGATTCGATTGAGAAATGTGCGTAGACGCCAGTTTCAGAGGACTTGAGACCTGGGCAAAAAACGTGAAATGGCCGATCTGAACAGGCAGATTGCTTCCAGAATGGACTCACTCCGAAATGAAAGTTTCGGGCGTGTTGTCCAGAATCTGGACGACCGCTCCAGACCATTCTGGAAGGTAGCCAAGGTCCTGAAAACTCATCCCAAACCCGTTCCACCTCACAGAGTCGAAAATGATGACGATCGGCTTTTAATCACCCCACAGGAGAAAGCAAATGCGATCGGCAAGCATGTCGCTTCATCGCATTTTC